ACGTAAAAGTGTGGATACAAACGTTATTTGGGAAGCAACAAAACAAACAACTCATTTCCTTATAGTATGAAAGTCGAGCTTAGCTGATTTTGATCCGTTTCGCTCCCTACCCTGTACCCTAGGCATGCACTCAAAAGTCACTCTAAAACTCGGAATTCAACACTATTCTTAGATATGCAAAGACTACGGATAGAAGGAGGGAAAAGGAGGGAGTTGCAGAGTACGTATATTAGCAATTGCACCACACGGCAAATACTAATAGGCCGTGGTAAATGTAGCATAATTCATTGCAAAATTCATTGGATCAATCTGATATGCAAACTTCACATGCACATCGAAGTCTTCAACTCCCTCTCCAACAACTTCCGAGGACGAGCTCAAATACATCTCCAGATTTGAGATAAACTATTCCACTAATCCCAAACAGCATGCACTTTATAGACTTGGAACACAAAGTGAAGTACTCGAAACTCTCCATTGATAGTTCTTGAAATCGTACCCTTTCTTATATTCAATCAATTTGGAGTTACATCTGATTGAAGATTTATTGACAAGTGAACAATGGTCTTCAAAAATTGGGAAATTAGTCGGTCGAGGGGCAAGATTTCAATTTGGAATTCTTCATACTTGGATTACAAAACTTTTTGAAAACTAAACGCCTCGAAAGTGCTCTAGGAAATATCTTTTTACCAATTCGCCATTTAAAATGCTAGAAAATTAAAACCTAGATATATCATGGTGAAAACTGGAAATTGAAGTTTCGATCTTTTGTAATTGCTCTTCGTATGGCATGATGATCAATTTGTACTGTATTCCGTCCTTGATTAATAATGCTCAATATCTCCTAAACTATTCGTAAATTACGAAGCTTGCATTTTTTTTCTCTCTAGCACATGCATAATGAGTTTAATTTTGAGCAATGTGATGTCTTTCGTAACAAATAGGTTCAAGAAAGTCAAATGATGGGAATAGTGGGAACTGAACTTTATTTCAAGTAAATCTTTATTGAGCTCAAGTTCATGTATGCTGGCTTGCCTTCACTGCCCGGAAACCATCAAATAATTCCAGATGTGTCAGATTGCCCTCAGAGGTGTTAAACCCAACTTTTCTACTTTAATTTTTGATTTTTCCACGGTTCTGTGATTGCTAGACATGTTGCGTATGAAACCTTTCTCGTAGAAAGCTGAAATCACTTCATTCGTGGCGACACCTGAAAGCGAACAAACCTGAACATCATTTTGAGCAGAGCTTGCTGTTTCTGGACGTAGATCAAAACTGAGATGCTGCGTGTAAATAATCTCTTTGAATTTATTCAATTCCGAGATGATATCGGCTAACTCATTTTGACGAGTGGCTGCTTCACGGGCAATGTCTTCCTAAATTCATCGAAACTTTTTTACGACCATTTTGGAGAATCACCGGCTTCGTCCACTTTCACGGACTCTTTCAATATGCTATAACTAGCTGTTTTTTGCACAAACAATGCATGCACTCGGACTCATGCAAATTCGATTACCCGTGAGCCCCATAGAACGCAGTAGAAAAAAGCTCGCCATGTTTTCTTTTCACATTTTTTCATGCAGCTTCAAAGCACACAAAGCTAATTTTCATTGACAAAGGCACGATTATGCATGCATAAGATGTACCATACAGCATGACTACATAAGGCATGGGCAGTGGAGAAGTACTGTCTAGACAGCGACTTTACTAAAATACATACACATGAACTAGATTGAGCGTTCCTTTAAGGCACTGTAAAAGTCATATACATTTGAAAGTGAATCCTGCAAGTGAAAAAGGTAGTATATCACATATTATGTAAGAGA